ACATGCCCAAACGCTTGCGCTTGTGGTTGCATCTGCATTTAATCCTGCACACAAATCGCGCCACATTTCAAAGCCAGGTACTCTGGCTACCGTATCACGCGGCGTACACCCGCGCGCACTTACCGGGATATGCTGGACCCAGTCGATCAGTATCCTGTACAGCCCCTGTAACTCCTGCAGCCACGTATCAAAGAGCACCCGCAACCGCGATACTATGCCCATCACCACCAGCGCTGTCTGCATAAAGTACCCCACCACTACCTGCGTTCGCCACGACTCGTATATCTTTTGACAGACGTGGATCCCCTACATTCTTGCGTGCACACGCCTGTCAGCACGCTATGCTACCCCACTTTTGGCGCGTCGGCACCCCCAACAAGGTGTGCTTCGATGCCACACGTACATGAACCAGCAGCCTGATAAATGTCGCCGTACGGGCCGCTACGCACGTCATGTAATAACGTGATGGCAACTGCTGCCATTCTGGCATGTTCTTAAGGTTGCTATACTTCGCACATCCAAGTACACATGCAGACGCGGGCCGCAGTCCTTCGGTGAGCTCATTGGCAAGCCTGTTGCTTGCCCTACCAGGTGCCATCCAAGCTGATTCAGCAAACTTGCCTCTTAATCTTTTGGCGTGTCCCATCGTCTGCATAGAACGCCTTGATTGCAGTGAACAGCACATCATGGATGTCTGCCTCCCCAATTCGCGCTAGTACTCGTTTCAACTAATTCAACCCAATGAGCATAAGTCATATACGCACATGCATACATACTATCGCGCTGCCGACGCGCACACATTTGCTGCACACTCACCTCTGACATCTTGCGCCCATATATTGCCGGGCGATGCTGGTTGGTGTTGCGGTACATCACCCTCTGCAATATCGCTGCCTCGCGCTGTATTGACTTCTTGTCCGATTGCCTGCACACCATCACCAGACTCCGGAAATTCGTCGTGTGCTGCTCAAGCCCATATTGCACCTCTCCTTGCTTGCTCTGTTGCTTCTTGCGGGGCCTTTCGAGGGTCGCTGCCAGTTGACTACGCAATAAGTAGTGTGGCTTATTAGGCAGCGAGTAATGCTTCGCTTCAAATTCCGAATTCATACTATTATTATGGCGTGCTAATAGATATACCTATAGGTTTGACCAAAAGTCGCTGTGTGATTACTATATACCATGATAAGATTGAAGCTTCTGTTTATGGGATAAAATTTAAATTAAAGTTTAAAAAAGTCGCTCCTGGGTGGGTTCGAACCACCGACCTTTCGGTTAACAGCCGAACGCGCTACCGATTACGCCACAAGAGCCTCTATACTTATTTTTTTTATCGTACTAATTTAAGGCATTCCGATGATGAGATCAAACAAGCCGCATATGAGATCGCCTCCCGATGCCTGACCAGCGCGCAAATCCCTCTATATCCCACACCTCTATGTGCTGATCTCACACTTTCCCACCACTATTACCCCTGGATCTGCCATTGGTAGTACTAATACCACACTGGTATTAATTCTCAAGCCATTTAATAATAAACAAATGTGCCATGCGGAGGATTGCGCTGTCTGCTCAACTGTACGAGCAGCATGCACCCTCTAGGCTCCTGTTTTATATTGTAGTTGGCCATGCTCTCGCAGAGATGCCATGCTCCTAAGTATTTAAAGTATAGGGAGAATCCCAATGCCCTTTTCTTCAGATAGCTAGATTACTCCTACGTCTCAATAACACCATAAAAACCCAATTACCTTCCATTTACATATCTACCCACAGGGTCCCAGCACTCACACCCCCTTTTCGGCGTCCTGCCACACTCTCTACTCCTCTATCCCCCCCCCTCCCAGCGTCCTGTTACGCTTCTTTCTATATACCCATCTACTCCCCTTCCCATGTTGTTTATTTACAATGAAGAAACGCTCTACAAACTCTCTATCACCAATCCCAGCCAACGAGGCTGAGCAGTTGGCGCAGGGGCATAAGGGCCTTGCGACATACTGATAGTTGTGTATTTGAGTATTTATTCCCACCAGCTGTGGGGAAAAGAATAAACACCAACCTCCTTCGCTCATTGATGCTATACTTATTTACAGCATCACACCTGAAGAAGATAGC